AAAAAAAAAAAAACGATAATTTCGAAAATTCTTAAAATCTATTCCTTTTTTATTTTTGACCAGATTCTGTGAGCTATTTTACATAGAAAATGACCATAACATTCACGATTTTCAACTGTTTTCTTAAACACTTTATTCCCTGAATGCATATGGTTTTCTAAGTTTTCAAATGCAACGTGCAAGTTATCATATTCGAATAAAATTTTGCAGCTTATTTTTAGACCAAAATATATTTTTTTGTATTAATTGCTATGAATCTGTCCGATCCACAAGCAATTACATTTTTCGATTTGAATTTTGAGTTAGCACACTCTGCGATATCGTCGCTTGAATAAAAGATTGTCGTAAGCACCATTTTGACGACTTTTATGGGTTATGTGAAGTGTGGCCGAATTCGGTCCAGCGGTTCATGATATATGACAGTTTATGTCTGTCACATGAACCACGTATATGGTACAACAGCAGATACATGAAAAATCGAAAACAGTGAAAAATAGTTGCTATGATGTGCTGTGTTTATTTTTTCTTCGGATAAATTAAGTCAAGTATAAACATGGCTGCAAGTTTTTCAATAGGGATTTTGTAGAGCCAATGGAATGAAAGTCACCACAACACAACATATCTGTCATTTCATCGTATTATCGAATAGGTGGAGTACATTGATATTCGCTCTTTCTATTTTGGACTTTGGAGAATCAACACAATGCAGAATTTACGTGGAAATCAACAGATTTTTGGTGGTGCTTTGGTATTATTGTCAGGTGACTTTCGACAAATATTGCCCGTGATTCCACGATCAACACCGGCAGATGAGATCAATGCATGCTTGAAGTCTTCCCCTCTGTGGCGATATGTGCAAAAATTGACATTACACATAAACATGCGTGTTCAGTTGCACAATAATCAATCTGAAGATCGGTTCTCGAAGCAATTGTTAGAGATCGGAAATGCCAAAGTTCGAATCGATAATACAAATGGCTTAATTACATTGCCGAAGAATTTTTGTACAATTCTCCAATTAAAAGAAAAATTGATTGAACGCGTGTTTCCAAATATTGCTCAAAATTACCTGGATCTCGATTGGTTGAGAGAACGCGCAATATTGGCACCAAAAAATGTGCATGTCAATTCAATCAATTATCAAATTCTAGAAAAATTGCCAGGTGGAGTGACAACATATAAATCTGTTGATAGCGCAAGGAATCAAGATGACGCAGTGAATTATCCAGTTGAATTTTTGAATTCATTGGAACCGCCTGAAGGGGCGCGAGCAACGCCAGGCTCCTCAGTACACCCTGGAAAGTGTGCGCTCATTAGAACCTCACGCATTTCCTCTTGGGATGATGTCCAGTCGCCATTCGGTTTCTGAATAAACATTGGGTTCGTCGGATTTTTGGCAAGCACTTTTCGCAAGCGATTACCCTCCGATTGTTCATCTATGCTATCACAATAATCCTTCCAGGAGTCCCTATGGGCTTTCCTGCTGGCACTCTTAAATTTCTTCAGGGCTACTTTGTAAGCATTGAAGAGTTTCCTGCTTTCCTTCCATAAATAGGCGATTCTTTGGTCCACCAGTGTGGCTTCCTCTTTCCTCTCGGAAGTACAATTGGGCATAACGCAGAGAAGGCCGTAATCTACGGCTTCTTCAATTTGTTGCAATGAGCTTAACTAGCCGAGAGAAGCAAGGTCTGCGAATATAGGCTCCACTTCATCAAATGGGTAACAGTAAGCCGAGCCTACTGAGAGAAGCGTCGTTGGGCAAAGACTCCAATAGTACCTACCTATAGTCCAGTCGGTACGTCTCTTGTTTTTATACAGAACCGGAACCGGAGATTCTAAAGAGATTTCGAATGATAGGTACATATGATCAGAGAATGAATGATCGTTTATTACATGCCATTCCCTAATGCTCCCCAAGAAAAAATTTGGACGTTAAAGTAATATCAAGTACCTCCCTCCTGATTGAGGTAACAAAGGTGGGTCTGCAACCAATATTACAAATAACTAGATTATAAGATAGTATGAAATCAAGTAGTAACTCACCTCTAGAGTTGATGTTGTTAGAACCCCATAACGAGTGGAAAACTTCCTAAAATTGGCCTCTTTCACCACGTCCAGGAACCTAGCGGGGGCAGTCTTGGCGATCGTGAGCCATATAGGTTGAGACCAACCAGAGTTTAGTAGATTTGCCCTTCACATTGATGCTCACCGTGTCTTCATCGCTAAAATGAGTGAGTAAATTATAAGAAATAGTTTTCTTATTTAATATACATGCTCTGATCCTACCTGCCACTGGGGCCGACACAACGTGGTAAGCATCAAAGTTAAGTCCGCAGACCCTTTGTTTTACAACCCAGGGCTCTTGGACAAAAATTAGCTCCTCCCCTTTGTCACTAAGGTGCAGGAGCAGAGCTGCGGAGTCTGCTTTGGAGTGGTGAAGGTTAGTTTGTAGGACCTTTAAGGAGTTGTCGCCTTCCATAGCTCCTGGCGCGGTCCCTTTGGACACCTCTACAACAGTACCATCGGCGTCCTCCGTTACCGATGCCAGAAACAGCTTCTCGAGATCCCTCGTCCAGTGACCAAAATCAGACCCGTCCCCAGAAGCGGATTGCGTATCACTTTCCGATTCTGATGCCGAGTCTGATTCCTCCGCCAGACGAGTGACCACGGGAACGTCCTGGACTTCTTGGCTAGAGGCAGGACCGCTCGAGTGGTTTTCTGGCCTACTCAAAATAAGGCCTTTTTCAGGTGGCAGATTATCGGTTTCACTCGCGGTGCTTCCCGGCTCAGGAATTCTTCTATACAACAAATGTGGGAAATTAAATTCTCTAAAAATTTTATGTAACCATTTTTTACGAAAAATGCAAAATAAGCTTGCAAATCGCAAAAAACCCCAAAAAAATAAAATCCAAGATGGCGGAATGTTGCCAAATGAAATTTAGGGGCCAGACCGTGGATCCATGATCTACGTGTGAATTAGAAGTAAACTGCATAAAAAAATCGCTGTTACATTTTTTTTTTCTTTTGAGAAAAAGTAATTTTACCGGTCTAATGTGCATAATCCTGCCACCGGAAATGATATTTTAATTGATTTTACGATCAAATGCGCTGTACGGTATCGGTACGTTGCTTGAATCCAATATCATTTACTAAACTACAACTTCTACTTTCAAATCGATTTGCATCTATATACTTTGAAATGAAATAAGCGTTAATCCCAGCAAGCACTGTCTCTAACGTTAGATAAATTTGGATTTCTACATTAGATAACTAGGGTAATTCTCTAATCGAGTCGATGACGAAGTTAGAGAACTACATTAGAATTCGATTCGTGAACGAGTAGAGAAACAACGCAAATTCCAATAAATGTAAATAAGCAATATTCCAAATGAATGAATCATAAATTATTTTTAACTTTAAATAATTCATTATTAATTTATTGCAAATACATTTAATAAAAATTTTGCAACAAAGCGTTTTAATTAATAAAGCAATACAGCAGTTTGAAATTTACATTCGAATCCCATTAGAGATCAGCATTAGAATTCGATTAGAGAATTACGGATTGCAACCGAACTTCAGTTGGGTGGCCAGTGGATGAAATGGTGTTACAGATGGCAACTGGCAACTGAAAACTGGAAACTGAGTTGCTATATTGGCGTTATTGTGGTTGCCACGGAAATTTTGATTGAAATAATTTATTTCTTTTTTCAACTGTTTCTTCAGCTTATTTACACTCAAGTCTTACCCAGCAAACACAGTCTCTAACGTTAGAGAAATTTGGATTTCTACATTAGATAACTAGGGTATTTCTCTAATCGTTCTCGAGTCGATGACGAAGTTAGAGAACTACATTAGAATTCGATTCGAGAACGATTAGAGAAACAACGCAAATTCAAATAAGTGTAAATAAGCAATATTCCAAATGAATGAATCATANGGCGATATGTGCAAAAATTGACATTACACATAAACATGCGTGTTCAGTTGCACAATAATCAATCTGAAGATCGGTTCTCGAAGCAATTGTTAGAGATCGGAAATGCCAAAGTTCGAATCGATAATACAAATGGCTTAATTACATTGCCGAAGAATTTTTGTACAATTCTCCAATTAAAAGAAAAATTGATTGAACGCGTGTTTCCAAATATTGCTCAAAATTACCTGGATCTCGATTGGTTGAGAGAACGCGCAATATTGGCACCAAAAAATGTGCATGTCAATTCAATCAATTATCAAATTCTAGAAAAATTGCCAGGTGGAGTGACAACATATAAATCTGTTGATAGCGCAAGGAATCAAGATGACGCAGTGAATTATCCAGTTGAATTTTTGAATTCATNAACTAACCTCAATGTTTGCTGGAATATAACATAAAACAATAAAAACAAATGTTTGCAGCTTTTAGGTGTAATTCACAATAGAATAACGATGCGACTTAAGATTGTGTCCGATTTCACCCATAAATTTGTAGATAGCTCTTAAACTGATAATTTGATTGCAAAACATTGTATAGCAAGTTCATAGGGATTTCGAAGGCCTTTAATCTGGTGGAGAGCTTTTTGCGGTGGGATAATCAGAACCGGAGGAGAAGCTCGGCCAATCTATTATTATTATTATTTATCAGAACCGGATATTTTTGAAAAAAATTTAAAATGCTGTTTTCTCAATTTGAAAAACGATAATTTCGCGAATTCTTAAAACTTTTTCAGATTTTTTTATTTTTCTCGTAAGTTATCTCACATAGCAAATGACTATAAAATTCCCGGTTTTCAACTTTTTCCCTGGATGCATATGGTTTTTTAAATTTTCAAATACAATGTGGAAGTACTTAGAGTTATCATTTTCGAACAAAATTTTGCACAGTATATATACTATACATATGTATGTTTCGTTTGCATTTGAACAATTTATATTTGTACGTTACTATCTTTATTAAGAAAATACTTAATAAATTAAAATACTTCTAAAATAAACAAATGACTTGTGTACAAAGAAAACAGAGAACGTGGCGGTGGAGGTTTTCGTGGCGGCCGCGGCGGTCGCGGCGGTGGTGGGCGTGGCGGCCGGGGAAATCGTAATGGTTTTGGTGACCGTAATGATGGAGACAGAAATGGAGATGACGACAATGGTTTCAATAACAACAAAGGCGAAAACGAGGGCGAGCAGAAACAGCGTGAGTTTTACATACCTCCGGAACCCACTGATAATGAAGACGAGATCTTTAGTAGTGGAATCTCATCGGGAATAAATTTCTCCAAATATGACAATATACCAGTCCGGGTAATGGCTTATCTTCATTTAAATGTTTATATTAGAATTTCACATTGTGTTTTTTAATAGGTGTCAGGCGAAAATGCTCCGCTACCACTTAAATCTTTTGATAATGCCGGCTTGCGCGATTTGATCATGGATAACGTGCGTAAGTCCGGATATAAGGTACCTACACCTATACAAAAAACTGCTATACCAGTGATTATGGATGGGAGAGATTTGATGGCATGCGCTCAAACGGGATCAGGGAAAACAGTGAGTATAATGGATTACATTCACCTATACAACCCAAATATGTATAAAATATTCAACAGGCTGCATTCTTGCTCCCTATAATCAATGGAATTCTGGGAGAGAGTTGTGATTTGTCAATCGGTAAACCGCAGGCGGTGATTGTTTCTCCTACTCGCGAGTTGGCAATACAAATTTTCTCTGAGGCCCGAAAGTTTGCGCTGGGTTCCTATTTGAAGATAAGCATTGTTTACGGTGGCACTTCAAGCAAACATCAAGGCGAAAATATCGCAAAAGGCTGTCACATTTTGATATGCACTCCGGGTCGTTTACTGGACTTCGTCGAAAAGGGTTTCATAACATTTGAGGAGACGCGTTACGTAGTGCTCGATGAAGCCGATCGAATGATGGATATGGGTTTCAAGGAAAATGTAAATACATTGATGCATCATCCGACAATGCGCCCTATGGACGAACGCCAAAACTTGATGTTCTCTGCTACTTTCCCCGAGGAGATACAGCGCCTGGCTGGCGAATATTTGTCCAATTATATTTTTATTACTATTGGTGTGGTTGGTGGCGCCTGCTCCGATGTTACCCAAGAGATTTTTGAAGTTAAAAAGTTCCAGAAACGGTCTAAACTGATGGTAATTTTCTTTTTGCTTTAAATAAGTCATTTTAATTTGAAAGGAACCTATTTTTCGATAGGAGTTGCTGGGCGAAAGCAGTGACGGGACAATTGTATTTGTTGAAACCAAGCGTGGTGCAGATTTTCTGGCATCTCTACTATCGGAAACTGAGTTCCCAACTACTTCTATCCATGGCGATCGCCTGCAGCGTCAACGAGAAATGGCTTTAGCAGATTTCAAATCCGGAAAAATGAAAGTGCTGATAGCAACTTCAGTCGCTGCTCGTGGCTTAGGTATGTAATCAATTCGCCACATTCTATGTAAATATACCATTCAAATTATATTTGCATTTCATTTTGCAGATATTAAGAACGTTAAACACGTTATCAATTACGATCTTCCTAATTCCATCGATGAATATGTCCATCGTATTGGTCGTACGGGCCGCGTTGGTAACAATGGACGCGCAACTAGTTTCTTCGATCCCGAACAAGATTCGGCCATGGCCAGTGATTTGGTTAAAATTCTTGAAGGTGCATCGCAGGAAGTGCCCGAATTTCTCCGATCATGTTCCGGTGGAGGTGGCGGTGGTGGGTATGGCAATTCGCAAAGTAGATTCGGCGGTCGAGACGTACGAAAAGGTGTTCAGGTAAGAAATTATAGGGCGTGACCCAATTACATGGTTCAAAATAATTTGGTCGTATTTTATCTCAAAAGCGGGGTTTCATCTTATAGATTTTTTGATGGTGATTTGAAGTGCATTTACAAGATTTTTCTTGAAAAAAAAAAAAAACTGTTGAAGTGTCGAAAAATGGTAAAAAATGGCAAATTTAAAAAAAAAAAAATAGAATTTGTACGTAGTTTTTCCGAAGAAAAAACCACGTATTAATGAAAATCCAATTCGTCTGAAAGATTCTATCTCAAGCCGATGGATTGCGTAGAAAGGGGTGAAAAATTAAAAAAAAGTGTTAAAAAAACAATAGCGAAGAACATGGCGAACGACTCCACCAGGACATAGCCACTATGGAGAAGTGGTATGATAGGAAATCAACCTTCCACATGCTTGCTGACTATTGCTGGACCCTGAAAAGCGATCCATAAAAAAAAAAAACACCCCTATTATGAGTTGCATTCGATCTTCGACTGCGGTCTAAAGTGCTGTCGAACGAATTTTCATTTGGTATTATGGTGCTTATTCGATGAAGAATAGCGCTATTGTAAATTTCGCTCATTTAGGCTGTTCACAATAGCACATTTTTCACCGCTGAGAAGCTTTGTTTACAAATCGAGCAAACTAAATAGTGTGCTTATACATATTATGTACATACAGATGCGTGCAACTAATTAGCAACGAAATTCAAAACGATATTGCTTGCAAATTATGTTTATTTTAGTAGTTTAGTTTCAAGTCGCTAAACATTACCGTTGATTTTTTAGAATTTTTTTTGTGGAGGGTGTTGCGCATTTTCTTCCATATAACACATGATCAAAATTTTGTTTACATGTTTAGTTCGTATGCACCATTTATCTCTGTGTACGATGAGACCTCATGGAAAATAACAATTACCGGCTTGGCCCCTTTTTTGGCGGGCAGACATGCATACAATTCTGATATTTTTTGATAATTTTTAATATTTTTCAGAATATAAATTTTTTGAACGTTAGCGTGTCAAATGAAAGCTTTTGGGTCTTTCTGATTGGTCGGAGCAGAAGCTTTCTGATACAACTCTGCGCTGAACTGGTTTCCAAACGAGTTGAATGAATTAAATGGTTCAAGACTTTGGAAATGACTTTGCCACCTTGCACTCCAAATTCTTCGCCTAGCGCTCACTCCCAGCAAACACAGTCTCTAACGTTAGAGAAATTTGGATTTCTACATTAGATAACTAGGGTATTTCTCTAATCGTTCTCGAGTCGATGACGAAGTTAGAGAACTACATTAGAATTCGATTCGAGAACGATTAGAGAAACAACGAAAATTCAAATAAGTGTAAATAAGCAATATTCCAAATGAATGAATCATAATTTTTTTTTAAGTTCAAATAATTCATTATTATTTTATTGCAAATACATTTAATAAAAATTTTACAAACAAAGCGTTTTATTTAATAAAGCAAAATAGCAGTTTGAAATTCAAATTCGAGTCCCATTAGAGATCAACATTAGAATTCGATTAGAGAATTTATATTTTCTCGAGTCGAGAACTATGTCCCATTTTTGTTGAGATTGATATGATTCTCGATAGTTTTTCGAGTCGATCTCAAACGTTTGAGATTGGAGAATGTGGCTAGTTCTCCAATCATTATCTAATCGATAACTACCCTCAATGTTTGCTGGGCTGAGCTGACTTAACGCCCGTCTGTCCAGAAGCACCCCACACGAGGTCAGGGGAGCCCCTAGACCCTCGCTATACGAAAGTAAGTCCTCGAGGGTTCCCTGTCTTGCAAGCTCGTCCCTGACCTGGAACCCGAATAAGCTTAATAGCAAAATAATCAAACGCGGTCGATAGGGAAGTCAAACACCGTTTTCGAACGCACCGCCAGGGAGCCACGAGCCATGATGGTTGCTTAGCTGTCAGAATAAATATTTACCTCCTTAACAGATGTTACACTAGAGAGCAACCAATCCGAAGCCGCTTTTATCGCGGCCACCTCAGCCTGGAAAACAGTTATCCGGTAACCTAAATTTCAGGTTGATGGAGAGCTCTTCGCAGGAGACACCTCCGCCCGCCTTCCCATCCAGCTTCGATCCATCTGTAAATAAGTTTACAGGTTCTCGATTCCAGATACTGCACCCCTCCCAGTCTCCCCTCGCCGGAATGTGGGCGGTAAAAGATCCAATCGGACCCAGAACCGGCGTGCAGTGGTCTGTCCGAGTCGGTAGGAACCCGAAGTCTCTTTGAATTCTGGAATGCCCATAACTTGAGGTGAACTTGAAGCCCACCCCTCTCAGCCTTACTGCGGCACGCGCAGCGGCAACCCTGCCAGCTATATCTATAGGCACAACATTTAACATGGCATTAAGAGTAGGTGCGGTTCGAAGTGCCCCACTGATTCCAATTAAGGCAGCTCTTTGCATCTTCTCCAGCTGCTTGACGATGTAGGTCTTGTAGTAATAAGATTGGCTTGATTATAGTTTCATAAAGCCAATACACTACCTTCGGCGAGAGGCCCCAGCGCTTGGCAATGGCCCCTCTGCAACAATACAGTGCTACTGTAGCCTTTTTGGCTCTTTCCTCCACGTTAAGCTTCCAGGAAAGCTCACTGTCAAGGATCAAGCCCAAATACTTCACCGTGTCAGAGAACCTTAGAGGAAGACCACCCATTGAGGGAAGACGGCTATTCGGTATCTTATACCTCCTAGTGAAGAGAACAAGCTCCGTTTTGCTGGGATTTACAACCAGCCCGCAGCTAAAAGCCCAGTTCTCAGCAAAGCACAAGTAACCCTGCATAAGCTCAAACAGTGTTTCCGGAAACTTTCCTTTTGTTATCAATACTAAATCATCGGCATAGGCAACCACCCGACAGCCACTTCTTTCCAGAGCCACCAGCAGGCCATTGAATACAACGACCCAAAGCAACGGCGAAAGAACTTCCCCTTGCGGGGTACCTCTACTCACACTCCTCAGGGTTGAAGCGCTGCCCCACTCTGCCGCGACAGTTCTATTGCAAAGCAAGCGGTAAATAAACCTGACAAGGTCGGCTCCGACCCCTAGCCTATTTAGGGAGTTAACTAAAGCCTCAGGCAAAACATCAAGGAAGGCAAAACATCGATATCAAGGAAGACACTGACCGCAAATACCTTCTGCGAGAAGGATTGCTCAATCAGCCCTATTCTGCATTTCGATTACGTTCCCGCATTCCGCTCCGCTGGAATCGAACTTAGGTATTCTGCGTTACGATCGAAACGAAAGAAGAAGAGGAAGAGAGAAAACATCTTTCGAAATCAGCTGTTTGCCTAGGAATGTGTGAAATCGAAACAAAGCAAAGAAATATTTGCCACCAAACTATAGCAGCATATGAAGTTAAAGTTTGTAAATATTTTAATATAACTAAATATATCTAGCATCACTGCAATTAAAAATTATTATTATTTGTAGTGTAAACACAATGTAACATAATAAAGAGTATAGATGTATAGTAGACCGGTGGCAACACCACCATAGAAATAAGTGGAACGTAATCCAAGAATACCAACCTGGCAATACTGTGAACAAATAAAAAGACATTAGATAGAGAATTTGCTACAGCGACAGGTGTGGAAAACGAGCTCCCGGTAAAAATGGAAAAAATGGAGAAACAGCAGATCATAGACGTGTTGCGAGACGCGGGAATTGCGTATCCCGAAACCGCAAGCCTACGGCAACTAAAACTGTCTACGGCGGTAGGTGCTCCGCCACCAGTTGAAAAGCTAGCTGAGCCAACACGTGGCACGTCGGCGGCAGTGATGGGAGGCCCTACGCCGGCAACAGGCGCACCGGCACAGAAACGGGGCTCCGCGGAAAAATCCACGGTGGCCACCGGTAATAACCTTGAAACTTCAGAGAATATCAGCCAAACCACTTCAGCAGCCAATAACGGCAAACAACCTTCAGCAAATTTCGGTAACGGCAGTTTTACTTTGGTATCCACCGGTAACGGCACTTCAGCATCAGAGGCAACAAACAGCGGTACTTCCGCAGCAGTAAATACAAGCGCTGACGTCGACGCCACAAGCGACCTAACGGAAGAGGTACAGCTTGAAAGGCGCTTACGTATTTTAAAACTTAAAAAAGAAATAAACGACCTGGAAAGCTGCGTAACAAATCGTCAGCTACCCGTCAGCTTCACAGACATCGAAAATTCGCTCCGAAAGTTTAGCGGCGATAACAAAATTGAAATTTACAAGTGGATACGCGAATTCGAATATGTGACGGAGAGCTATGGGTATGACGACTCAGCGAGGCCGCTACTTGTTCGACGCCTACTTACGGGCAGCGCTCAACTGTACCTCAGTATGCTGCATGTTGACTCGTGGAACGAGCTAAAGGCAGCGCTGGTGAAAGAGTTCAGGAAGCCAATAAGCATCAAGGAAACATTAAGAAACTTGAGTCCAGGACGTGGCAAAAAGACGAAACGCTTATCCATTACGTTTTGTCGATGCAAGAAANCTATTTAGGGAGTTAACTAAAGCCTCAGGCAAAACATCAAGGAAGGCAAAACATCGATATCAAGGAAGACACTGACCGCAAATACCTTCTGCGAGAAGGATTGCTCAATCAGCCCTATTCTGCATTTCGATTACGTTCCCGCATTCCGCTCCGCTGGAATCGAACTTAGGTATTCTGCGTTACGATCGAAACGAAAGAAGAAGAGGAAGAGAGAAAACATCTTTCGAAATCAGCTGTTTGCCTAGGAATGTGTGAAATCGAAACAAAGCAAAGAAATATTTGCCACCAAACTATAGCAGCATATGAAGTTAAAGTTTGTAAATATTTTAATATAACTAAATATATCTAGCATCACTGCAATTAAAAATTATTATTATTTGTAGTGTAAACACAATGTAACATAATAAAGAGTATAGATGTATAGTAGACCGGTGGCAACACCACCATAGAAATAAGTGGAACGTAATCCAAGAATACCAACCTGGCAATACTGTGAACAA